CTCTACGACTCTGAACGAAAGAAAATTTTAAAAAAAAAAAAAAAAAAAAAAAAAAAAAGGCAGCATCGTAGCTTTTACACAACACAGGGCCATTCCTACAGGTTTCAGGCATCAAACTGTCTTCCTGCCCTCCCATCTCACTCTTTATTGTTACTTCGCAGAGGGACTTAACGCGGAGTATGTGAAAGGAGAAAACATGGAAGCGGTTGCGACCGAAGAACCTCAAGGTGAGAGCTTTGCATCCCGTAACCTTCGTGCCTCTGGCCACAAAAGCAGCTTTGCTGAAGGACTTCTTAAATGCGCTCACGCTTTGCTGAGCTGCAGTGTCTCTGTGATGGAGACACCACTTAGCTTTGGCAGCAGCTTTCCATGAAACTTCCACCACAGTGTATTTCCCCCTTGCTGTACACAAAGAAAATCCCTGCACTAAGAGACCAAGGATCTAATTCTGCAGACAGTGGCAGGTAGTATTTAGCTGTCACGTTTTCAGCCACCAAAAGCATGTTACACAGGAAGAGCACGATCCTTCTTTCAGTGACAGATAATGAAGGCTGAACCTCCCAGCCCCGGGCACCCACTGCGTGCCGTTTAGCTCCTTTGTATGCTATTGTATTCACAATCCTTTTTTTCCTTCCCTATTTAAATATTTAGCACTGGAAACGCAGTCAGCAGAACCACCCAAATAAGACGGCGCGAAGCTCTGAAGCACAACCTGGAGCTAGAAGAGAGTAAGACAGCAGCAAACATGGAGATCTTACATGCTTGTAATTCCGCTTTTTATTTAATTTGAATCCAAAGCTATTTAATGTGCACTTAGGCTTGAATTGGCTTCTTAGTGCTAGAGTTGTAAGGGTAGTGTGTGTTTATTTTTTGTAAAGACGTACATGTTTACATTGAAGTAATATTGTAGGCTTGATCTCAAGTTGTGTGCAGAACAACAGAAGAGGCTTCAGTAGAGTTCAAGTGTCAGTTAAGGGACAAGGTCCTTTCCAAGGAGCCAAAGGACTTACTGGTGTGACTGCAGCGAAGTGCCTGTAAATAGCAACCCAAAGCCAACCATGCAAACCCCTTTGTAAATCACTTCCAGCCAACAGGCCATCTGCTATGGGCACATAATTTCAAGTGACAGTGGTGAAAACTGCACTCTACTGAGCGTAGATTGTGCTTCTTAGAGTAGCTACACCTAAAAATAAAGTGCCTATGGATAGGTCCTCAGGTGGGGCCTCAGGCTGAGCCGGGTGACACCCTGCTCCTTGGCCCGGGACGTTCCTAACCACACAGCGCTGGGCTTCTAACCAAATAAAAGGACCTGGTTTTCATCCCAGAACAGTAATACAGGTAATAGCTGTGAACGCAGCGCTCTTTTTTGGCAGATACCATTTGAACGCATGGCTATGCTAGAGGTCAGAATGGAGTCGAAGTTACAAAGGGATAGAGTTTGCCTCTGTCATCAACAGGAGACCTATGTTGTCACAGAAATGAAATCAAACCTATTTGTTTTTATGCTTCCAAGGAGAGATTCAGATCTCATTCTGACCAGAGCAAATTACAGATTTAACTCAAAAGGAAATAGAGAGCAGGCACAACTATCGAGAATGGTCCCTGTCACCTTAGGCAGAAACAGGGTGCAAAGCTTTGACCTTTGCTGCAGAATTGTGATTTGCTTTGAATCCCCCCACATCTCTCTCTTACTGATGCTAAAATGGGAACACTGCTACTTACCAATACATTTTCCCCAAACAGTGAATCCTTAGAAAATGGTTTAAAGTGAGGGGAAATTCAGTTTACCTTGTGTAAAAGATACTCTGTGTTTATATATAAACCTGAAATGTCTGCATTTTGTAATGTTCTGCAAAAACACATACAGTGTGAATGTGGATAAAAAAAGCGTTTTCTGTTTGATGTACAAATTCACAGCTTTCATATAGATATGACTTAACACAAGGCCTTGCCACTAGGTGAATAAGCCTGGGAGCTTTTAGGTCTAACAGCTCAATTTGGAAGGAAATTGCCTAGTAACATTACAAGTATTTTGCAACAGCTGCACAATCTTAGGTTGTTTTTTGCACTTGCATTTTCAAAGCCTTATAACAGAACAACTACAGCATTTATAAGGGAGACAGGTCCCAAGAATATATGACAACTGACATTTATTTGGAACACTTGGGCTACTACAATGCTGCTATTAGTTATTGCTACTTTGTTTTATTAATGGTGTTCAACTAGAAAACTAACTACTGGTTTCTATGAGACTGGAAGGAGAAAAAACAGATACAGGGTACAGAATATATGTTTGCTTACCCCAAGAGTTGGATTTTCATGAAGGAGGAGATGGGGGTTGTAGATGTGCAGAAGCACCTGGGTCTGGGTAACTACTTCTCCAAACGTTGTAGCCTGTCCTTTCACAGCCAACATATTGGACAGCTGTGGCATGAAAACATTTTTAGAAAATAGATAAAATGGTGCAAGATTGCATTGATAAATGGAAAGAGTCATATTCCCTGGGCAGATCAAATGAACATGACTCCATTCCTCCTTGTGCTGATGAATATTGTTTTATAGATGCAGATCATCAGTCCCATAACTGCACAGAGCACAGGGACCCTGTTCGCGTAGTGGACAGGGCAGGGTCCAGGGATGCTCAAGTCTGCAGCACTCAGCCCTCCTGTGGGAAAGTGTTAAATTAGAACATATGACAAGCATGCAGGTAATTCACAATATTGCTGTTTTGAAGGTTAAAAAAAAAGGGAAAAAAAGTTTCATGGAGGAAAAATTAACAATTCCTGTAACTCAGTAGTTTGCACTGAAGTTGTTCCTTTTGCCAAAGCCTTTTCTATGGCTTTGTTGAATACTTATGCCTTAATGTAATTTAAAGGTATGCGTAAAGAAAACTGTAAATGCAGTGAAAGGGAGCACTTCTTCAAAGTTTAGAGAATTCAAGACTTCTTTCTGAAATATTTCTAATGGGGAAATACTGACAAATACCGCAGTAAAGAAATTAAACCCAGTCTCTTCAAAACAACTGGGCAAAAACCTGCAGCTTCATGTGCTAAATGTCAGTTAAGACTCAATTGCTTTTTTATTGCAGTTTGTCTCCTTCTCTGTCAGAATTGCCTGCTCAGTCACCGAAAAATGACGAGTTTACACTTCCCATCATCTATACTTCAGGCACTATAGCAACAGAGAAGGTTCATTTGTAATTTCCTAGTAATGATACAAGTTCTGAAATATCTGATACAGCATTCACCCCTCTAACTACCTGGATTTAATTAGTATATTTGTTATTTTTAAACCTGGATGTGTAATTTTAAAAAATCTTGCACTTATATTCTGTATACATGGTGTGAACTTTCTCATCCTGTATATAAAAAAGGCAATAAAATACTGAAAAAAAAGATTTTTTTCTCATTAATCCAGAAGTACAGATGTAGCTGTGCTGAGTTTGTGTGCCACCTGTTCTGTGCCTCATCCTTTTAACACACCTCCCTTCTTCAGATCAAAAAAATTAGAAACGGGTTTCTCTATTATAGAGAAAACAGAATTGACAAGCACTCCACACTACTCTTCTGCTGCTGTTATTGGATGAATTACTCACATTTTCCTTTGGGCATACTGTAGTAGTTTTTTCATTTGAGACTACTGTGCCATGAGATTCAACATTTCACAATGTGGTGACATCAGTTTGGGGTTTTTGGGGCACCCAATAAGTTTGGCCATTTTCATGCAACCCCATTCAGGAACAAGTGCTATACTGTCAGTCTTAACTACTCATTTTTGTAATAAAAGTGGAGTTAGTCCATGAGGTAAATTCGAATTCTGAAAAAAATGAGTAGACAGACTTCATCCTTAAAACTTACTTCTATCAAACGAGTCTCAGGATCAAATGATCTGACAGGTTTGGTCAAAGCCAAATGAAATTTGGAAACAACAGTACTGTGAAACTACAGACTCACATCTTTACAGTGAAATCTTCAGTTAAAAGCAAGACATAGTGTTTACTAATGCAGAAGTGACCTATTCCAAATGAAGGTTTAATAATATGCTGTGAAAAGAGATTTGTTTTGCTAAGGTGCGTGCAAGGGTCATGTGGCAAAAAAAAAAAAGGCAGAATTTGTCTACCCTTAAAAAAAAAACCCATAAATAAAACAGACTTGACCAGTAGGACGCTCTAGTTTTGTTTGGTTGGTTGTGGGGCCAGGAGAGATGCTGCATTTTGGATTTAAATTACAAAAGGTTGGAGCAGGTCCTCTGTACACATAAAACCTCTAAAATACACTAAAATCTTCATTAAAAAAAGAAATAGGAAAACAAAAAGAGCTGTAGACTATGTGAGGAAAAAAAGTATTATTGTGAAAACCTTCATCTAATGGTAAAATTGAAGTACATGAAGTAGACATCCTTTTCTTGGCACTTTAACATGAGAAGAAAGTTTGCCTTGCCTGGGGAATAGGCCCCAGTGCCCGTTTTGCCTCACCCTCTGCTGTGGGACTCAGTGCACACGAACGGGATATTTGGATCCCCTATTTGCAGCTCCTAGAGAGACAGCCATTCTCAGAGTTATTAAATACAGCATATAAATTAGCAGAGCTTTTCTCCTAGAAAAAAAGAAAAAATTAAACTCTTCCTATTTAAAGCTTTAACCCCTTGAGAGGAAGGCTGCCTATGTAATTACATGGGAGGGAGGGGAAGGAACAAAAGGAGGGAGTTAAGAGACTCTTTTCCAGCTTTCAAAGTCTTCTTCCATTTCTATTAAGCAAACAAGAAAAGCAAAACCAATGAACTTTTATCTATCTACAAAAGAGGAAAAAGTCTAATTCAGCTTTGAAACACGACTAAATGGCAACATGTCTGATGCTGACAATTCAATCAACTTACTTTACAAGGAAAAAACGGCTTCATTAGTTACCAAGGCGTCAATCCTGGATTCAAACTGTTTCCTCTCCCACATATCATTTACAATAAGAAAATCCTACAGATCAAATTTAGCAGCTTGCTGTCTGTGCACATTCCCTTTGCCCTCCCCTTAGAGTCAAAACCAAAACCCAAAGCAGAAGGAGATCCAGCGATTCAATTAGAAGTTGATTAGTTCTGTTCAAGGAACACCAGACTGAAGCCAAGGTTCTGCTCTCTCCTCAATGACTTCAATCCTGTCTTATTAAAAAAATTAAAAAATAATGACAGAATCTTTAAATCAGTAAGATAAAAACATGGGTATCAGGAAGCAGACCAAGTACAAAGAGAACATCTCCTTGACATCTCTTCTGGACAGAGCTATGCAAAACGAGCACATATAATAGTTACAGAATATCTCTGAAAATTATCATGTTGAGTGGTTAAAAAAAAATCCACTATACCTATAAATACTGTAGTAAGACACCCCCAATTTATTCCTTCGGATCAGAGAAGGCTCCCTGAGCTAAGTTGGAACGTGTAGATACTCAGGCAGTCAGTTGAAATATGCAGTGATTTTCTTCACAAAATCAAATCCTCAAATATTAGCTCCAGGAATCTTAAGTTTTTTTAAATCTCAGAGTGCCCAAGCTAATCCAGTCATCCCTTCCTAATAATTATGGAGGATATATGTTGTGATTATTACCACCAATAAAGAGGAAAAACTTCAAATGACTTTCTTCAGCACTGCATTTTAGAGATAATGTGCTTTACTTCAATATACAGTTAAAATGTCACCGAAATCTCAAATGGGGAAGAGTTTCATTCAATGCCAGCTCAACATATTCTGGCCACTTAAAATTCACTGCTGGCATACTACTTAGTTTTTTTGTTATTTTTTAAATGGAAAACATATTTTATCTATTTATTAAAAGCCTGAGGTTGATGAAAATTGCACCACCGCAAGCTTTCCTTAAGCTCTACTCTTGTAGGTGAGTGCCTATTATAAAATACAATTATTTCACTATAATGAAAGACATTGAAATACTATGCACTGCACAGTAAACTTTTAAGCCTGGACATAGCACTTCTGTCTTTCCTCTGACCAGCTGGAAACGTTCAGGTTAGCAGCTCACCCAGTAACTACAAACCACTAATACGTGTGCAGAGAATCAGGAAAGCGCATTGCTCTCTCTCATGCTAAGAACAAATGTTGAAGAAGTGACTGCCTGCAGACAGCGAGAACCACACCGGGATACAGAACCAGCTGATCCTTCAGAACGGCACTGAATTGCTGCCAGCAGAACTTGGAGCAACACTGGAGCAAGCCAAAAGGCAGAGCTGCTGAATTTAAAGGGCCTAAGGAGAAGAGATTCTAAAGAAACACGCAAGAAAAACAAGCAAAGGGAAATTTTAAGCATGCACCACGTCCAAGCCTTTCAAGAAGGCAACTGAGCAATGATTTAAAAGGTTACTCAGAGCAGGAATCAAACATATTTCAGGGAGTTGAAAGAAAGGAGAGGAGGTGTGTTGTGTATGAATATTCACTTTACAGAAAAATGCTGGCAGCAATTTACAAAACAAAAAGCCACCAGGCTTTATTTCAAGAAAACCAATTAAGATCATATTATTTATAAACTTTGTCAAACAAAGTCATTACAAGTTAAGGTCTTCAAAAGAGTCTGGATAGGCAGGATCCATTTTCTGTACTTACAGCTTAAAAACAGGGAAGTATGCATATGTTTAACATCACATACACATGTACATAAAGGGACACAGCATTGCATTTTATGTGTACACTTTCAAACAAAACACGCTTAGCAAAACGTGGAGCTATACAGACTATACAATTTACACAGCTGGGTGTTGTTCCAACCCCAAATATTACCATTTGCTAGAAAACAACCCTTACTTTGTACAAGACTGTGACATGGTTAAGTTTACCCCTTACTCGGGAGGCTGAAATTGAACAATAAGCTAAATAATCAAAAGACTTTATTTAAACTTGTACAAAAGGCATTAAAAAAACTAAAATCCATGCTTTACCAAATATATTACATCATACAAGTCAGCGGGTGTACAGGTGTACTAGACAAATGCAGTTTAACTTCATTCACTTTTAATGGCATACTTTTTAGTCAAAACATAAAACTTACTTCACTGGAAAACATTTAAAATCAATTTCCAAGTGCATCAAATTCCTTAAAAAAAAAAAAAAAGTTGTGCTAGTCAAAAAAAAAAGGGGGGGTGGTACTGAGTGAAAAAAAGAGCTCTTGTTGACAAGGACTTCAGGTTCTGCTGAAGTGGCATTTCCTGCAAGGCTCTCAACCAGGACTGCTACCCTGATAATTTTTCTGTCTGCCTGACGGCCAGATTCCTTTTTAGCACGGTTAAGTTGTTAGTTGCTCAAAACAAAGTTAATTTCACAATTGGTGATTTAGCCAGTCAAAACACACGGGGGAGCTGCCAACAAGAAAACACGTCACATCTATTGAAGCTCTTTTGGCCTCATCGTGATAATACCAGACACAGTAAGGCATGTAGATCACAGCAATTTTAAGTCACAGTTCTTGTGGGATGGGAGAAACGCTCTGCCCTCCTCAGTACTACCTGACAGGAACCGTTTTACCAATGGCTTCTGTTGCCCTTCACACAGAGGTGTGCACTGGCGTGGCTGAGTGCGACGGGGAGGACCCTCTGTCCGAGGAGGAGGAAATGGAGCGGGTGGCAGCCTCCCGCTGCAGCTCCTCCACCTTCTTCTGCAGTTCGGTCCGGATCGCGAGCAGTTCTTTAAGATTTTGATGGATTGGAACCTGTCAGAAGAAGAAAGCAAAGGCTACTTTGACTGCAATAATGAACTATCTTCCTGAGCAACTGTTCTGCAGCTTTCTTCTGAAACACAAGAAATGCAACGTCTGTGGATTTCATTATATCAATATTCAGGGAGGACATTTCTTTAATCATCTGAAAGTTCAGCAAACTTTCTAACAACACAGTTGGCAGAAAAACAGCTCAAAAAATCTCTGTGCTAATTGACTTGATGGGATATCAAATTATTCCAATAAATGTACTGCTATCCCTTGCTATCAAAACCACTTTCAGCTGAATTTAAAGTGCCTTCTCAGTGCCTAGAAATTTGTCCTTTCTGCCTGTTGGGAGAGATTTTTTTATTTAAGAAGAATTTACAGAGCTGGCATTTAGCATTTTGGTCAGGACAATGAAAAGGATAACGCCATCCAGTTTAATCTCTATGGGTTTAGTCTGAGCAGCTCTTGTCGAGGCAGATTTTCAAAACACGACTACAGGGGTTACGGTCAGCCCTGACAGATCCCCCTCTTACTGCGCTGCCCTAGAGGACGCCAAGGAACAGGAGGAGGCTCCAGGGGCTGGAGCTCCGTCGGAGCAGGGTGACACGCGGCCCCCCGGCGCGGCCCCATGGCCCCGACCCTTCCCGCCCGGCTCGCACGGCGGGGGCTGCTGGGACCACCCAGGGACACGCGCAGAGCAGCCCCGTGCAGGAGCCACCGGATCTGACACGAGCGGCCTCAAAAAGAGCAGGGCTCTTGGCCAAGGGTCGCGATTTGAGTTTCAGAGGGAATTCTTCACTCTCGCCTGGAGCGTTCCATTACATCAGGCCACAGGAAGACCCAGCTCTCATTGTTCTTTTGCAGCTGGATCTGTTATCTCAGACAAGCACAGAAACCTCCTCTTCTTCCAAATGCCAGAGAACAGCCAAAAGAGCTGGACTGCCAACTGCTTTTAATTTACTTTATTCTTCAAACTCGGAATTGTTTACAGCTTTTGGAAGGAGTAAGATGGATAAAGAATTTAAGTGGGCTGACAAGACAATTGTGGAGAAATGCAGAATTGGGAAACCTAAGGGTTGC